TGGGCCACCTACAGGCAACGAGAGTCACAGCTATAATTTTCTGTTTTATACCTACTGATTTCTGTGTGTGAGTTTTACTTTTATATTCAACGCTTGCAAGCTAAACTGTATTTACTTCAGGTAACAAGGGTCAAAACAACATTTACATTCTCAGCTCTGAACCAATGCTGTGATTTCTGTCCTAGCCTGTTGGTGGCACTAGACGCAAGACATAACTGCTGGCTCTGTAGCTGTGCAACTGGATAATATACACTGGGCCTGGTTTCAGTTGCTTAGCATCAATGACACAGTATGTCCTTGTGCTTTGAAAAGGGATACCTAAAATAACACAATGTAATATTCTCCTATTTCATCTATTTTTGATATTGTCAAACTCAGACTATAACAACAGTAGAAGTTCCTGAGCACTGGTGATTATTTGTTTTCCATTTTAATAAACATTTTTTCAGTTTTTTTTTTTTACATTTTTATTGTGTCCTATCCACTGTGGTATGATCACTTTTTAATGAGCCTATGAGGTTTTTAATCAACACAGACTAAAACTATAACCCATAATTAGTAATGAGAGTGTGAGCACAATGAAAACTCTTGCACTGACACCACCTGTAGCAGCATATTGGAGCTGATGCAGCTTCTTAGTGGATTATCTAAATTTTTGTTTTTTATAGACTTAACATTATTACTGATGCTTTTTCTTCATACCTACAAATAGAGGAAATATATCATTATCTAGGCTGCACAGTCAATTCAGTAAGCCCATATGGGTACAACCATGTGGTTTATATACTGTGTGTATATATATATATATATTTATATATATATTTGTTCATGATGAAATTGTCTCTTGCCGAACTGCTGTTTGAAACCATACTGCCCTCTGTTTCCACTCATCCACCTCTACTTCCAGCACAGTTAGTTTTGTGGTTTGGTCATTTTAAGACAAAAGTTGGTTTACAAAGTTTACGACTGATGCATCTACTCATCGGAATAGCATTCACTTTGGGGCAATGAACAGCCTCCTCTGTGAAAATAAATAAATAAATAAATAAATAAATAAATGATGCATTTTGTAATGTCTTGAGAAACCGCATGCCTTAAAATAGAAACCATAGCATCTTCCTGTAACGGCTTTCACTTTGTGTTCTCCATCAAAAGCATCTTTCGTTTCTGATTAATTCAATGCAGTAATCCCACAGTAATGCTATGTAGGTTGGTAAGAGTTAGTCAAATCCACCTGATGCTCTTGACATTGAAATGGATAATTGACCTAAGGCAATGGACAACAGTAAAGACAGAAAGGTTGAACAGTCTGGTAGAAAAGCATTTGCCCAGAAGTGAATCTGTGAAGCGGTTTGATGCTAAAATTGTAGGTTTTATAGAAAACCTACATGGAAAGATGCTATGTATAAAACTGTCACCATCACTGGCCTTGGTTACAGGAGCGTGACGACAGCCAGTCTGTACCTGGATGCGATTTAGCGTGTGCGTCCATACAGAGTTGTTTCAGAGAGTATTTAGGCTCCAGAAAATGGTATCAACTGTGGTAACAAGTATCTGCAGGAGGGGCCATAAACGGCAGGGCTGCCGAGAATCACAGCTTCTGTCAGACACGGCTGCAACAATGGCTTTGTCTTGAAGCTCGACACAGGAAACCAACTTAAGCTGTTATTGCCTGAGGACATCACACTGAAGTGAGGACAATGTCATATAGCCATATTGTGTCTTTAACACTGAGTGACATTCGTGTTGCTTATCCTTCCTCGAGAATGCAGTATCTACAGGCTTTTGGCTTTTTATGTGTCAAATCTTGGCCTAAAGGTTTACTCCTATCATCGGTGCGGACAATTCCAAGAAACAGCAGACATCAGTGCTAAATGACTGCACAGTTTTTTTACTTTCTTGATTAGTTCACAAAAAGAGCTTTGATCAAATCACTCAACCAAAGCAGGAGCCAATAAGCCACACACTCCTTTAGCAAAGTCAGCTTTTATCGATGCTAACAGCCCTGGAGAACATGTCCGTTTCTCCATGCTCTGAGTACAAAGACGACACGCTGAGCTCCTACAAGGGCAGGTTGTCAAGCACTGAGTCCCTCTGATAAGACCACAACAAAGCTGGGAACAAGAGGCCAGCTGATTGGAGATAATACAATGTGGGAACTCATCAGGGGCCCATACTTCAAAATAACTTCAAGTACTACACTAGTCTATGGAATGGGGCAGACAAAGTAATGTAATCAGCGCAGGGTAAATAGCTTAACTCTGAAATAATTTAATCACAATTACAAACACTGCAAGAAATGTGGCTCTTATTAGATTGAATCCCATTTGGCAGCTGTAATAGAGGCCTAATAAACAGCAATTTGTTATGCAAGTGTCCAAATTAACAAAAGACAGTACAACAGAGCTCCAAGGAGACAACAAAAAAGTATTCAATATGCCTAGACTGTTTTAATAAGCCAAAAACAGACAAGCTGCACAGAGAAAGAAAAGCTAAGGTCTCAAAGGGGTTGGCAAATACTGTGATATGATGTGAAAGCAAACATCACCCAACTTTAAAGCAGAGCAAGCAATGATTTGTTCTCTGAAAATATTTCAAGAGGTGTTATTATTTTGCCTACATATATATGAGACAATCTGTGTTAGTATCATGTCATGTAATATGTCATACCATGTAATATCATGTAATATCATGTAATACCATGAAAGCTCACAAAAAGAGAAGAAAAGTTTGTGCACAGCATGTATTTCAGGGATGAAGGTTCTAGCACCAAGATGAACACGAAATCGGCAAAAATGGTAAAACTTTAACATTTATAGTCACTATATAAACATCTAATAAATTTTTATAACACACTACAACATAGTTATATGCAGTAGTTTTTTCTGTTTATGTACCAGTGTACCATAAGTGGTGACTTATGAGTTAAAGTTGTTGACAAATTCATTAATAAATACTTTTGAGGTGTGGATGAAAAATTGATTACATAAGATTCATGATTCTGAATCGATTCACGAATATCAAAAATTGATTTGAACAATTTTTGTAAAAATGTCAGTTGATTAATTACCAATTACCTTTTATTAACGCGGACGAACACAATGCATTTCCATCAAAGCTCTGATGAAAATAATTTCTCATACATTTGGCAAATTTCTCGTTTATGTATAGTTGTACAATGACAAAAATCAGTGTCATTAATAAAGGTTTACCTGCATTTATTTTACCACTGACTAAATAATCTAGGGAAGCTGTTACAAAACCTCCTTGCTAATTATGCTGTGCCAGTAAAGACAGAAACCGTAACATACTGTACAAGGTAAAAATTTACAGAGAAGATTGCAGGGGAACCAACTAACCAGAGAAATCTACAAAACAGTAGAACCTCCCTTAAAAATCTTAAAAATTTTAATGCGTGAAGATGTATGTCATGGGTTATCACAAATATCTCAGAAAACCATCCAAGTCCCATCACAATCATCAAACAGACGAGTGAAACCTGTGAGGGGAAACGAGAACAGAGACAGCAAGGTGGAAGCTGGTGGCTGTACAACACCCACACTCACTGCAACACTGCAGTTTAAATATAGCAAAGGTTCAACTTTCTGAACATGCAGGTACAGAACTGTAGATCTCAGCGGGCAGTTACCACGCACCTCATTTGTGGCTGTAGTGTGCTAATTTTAGATGGACTGAGCCATAATGTCCAGAACCTCGTCTCCAATTGTTTAATAAAACTTAAGGTCCATTCATGCTTCACAATACAATCATGTGCTGTGCACTGGATACAATGCCCTCATTCTACTTGCATCCTATTATTACTTTTGTAAAGATTACTTATTCTGTTGAGTTAATAGTCTGGATGTGTATTGGTGGATGATGAACCCTCCCTGACCCAGTTACTGAGCTGTCATCCTGCAGAGGGAACAAAGAGGAGCAGATGTCTATCAATAGCCTGAATGTGTTTTCAGGACTGACACAAATAAAACACAGGACCAACAACATGTGCTCCTGTCCAAAATCAGCAGGGACGGCCACAAATAAACACCTTTTAGCTTTGATTCCTCAAGGGCTCGCAGATCACATTAATCACACGGAGGCCACTTCAAAAGCCAGCATAACACAGAACCACATTACCTTTAGTGATGAAATGAGACGTGCAATGTGCAACTAACACTTATTTCTATTATCAATTATTCTTGATAACTCTTAATGTTTTAGTATATTTTTTGGTCCAGTCTGATGTCTGACTATAGTGTTAAAATGTCCATTAAATTTTGTCAGGGGACATTGCGAAATCCTTACATTGCTTGTTTTATTTGACCAAGAGATCAAAACAATTTAATCTACAATGACATACAAGAAAAGCAGCACATCCTCACATCTAAGAGGCTAAGAAGCCAATTTTTTGCCGTTTTAGCTTGATTAATTATTTCAAATATTGATCACTTATCAAAAATGTTGACAATTAATCAAATAACTCAAACAATACCATCAGTCAAAATACTAATCATTCTTGATTTCTGGCTTCTCTAATGTGAGGATTTGCTGCTATCCTCTGTTCTACGTTGTTGAAAATCAGACATCTTCAGGTGTTGGACAGTTGATCAGACGATTTATGCAATTCAGGGACATCAATTTGGGATCTGAGTAATTTTTCACTGTTTTCTGACATCTTAGAGACTAAACTATTCATCTAAATTGGTGAAAATAATCATTAGTTGCAGTCTAAGCCATAGTGCTATTTCTTGTATGTCTGATCTTGAGAATGTGGTCTAGGCACCAATATGAAACAACGTAAACATGGACAGAACACAATGCTATGCAGGACAAAAGATGTTGCTGCAGATGAAACCCTCCTCACACAATGGGACACATCTTTGTTGTGGAGATTATCTGCTACCGTGTGGGGAGAGTGCTTTTTAGACGGAGGCAAGAAATCCTGCTAAAAGACAAAACAAAACAGTAGTTGAATGGTAGTTATGGCCTGCTTCATTTACCTGCTGATTCACCAGTGTTGATCCAGTCTGGGTTTGCAATGCTGGCTATTGCAAAGATATCTGCTGCCAGAAACAGGCACCCTGAAATGATCGTTAGTTTATCCATATCGCCAGCTGATGAAGCGGTGAATGACGGGGCGAAAAGTGGTGGTCGTTGTCTAAATGTGTCCCGGAGTGTTGAGAAACACAGGGTTATCAGTCTAACCTCGCCCCCTTCAGCAGGAGCCTGCTGTTGTGGTTCCGCTGTGCATTTTGCAGCAACGTTAGCTCCTTCGCGTCAAGCAAGCGAGAGCCTCTGGCTACATAAGGCTCAAATACGAAGCACAAAAGCATCACATCTCAAATGCCCGTAGTAGTCCAGTAAGGTAAAACAATAGCTCACTCAGCGCCAAGTCCCTGAACCGTTTGTGTTGTCTTTCTGATCCGTTTAGCAGCAGCAGCCGCCGCAGCAGCAGCAGCATCGGGCACAGCTGCGGCTAGCAGATAGCTAGCTAGCTACTTCCCAGATTCGGGCTCGGTGTGCCGAGCTGCGGCCCAGAAGCTGCTCGACGGCCGAGACCGCGACTGCGCTAGCATTTCAGACCCAATGTCACACAAACGGAGGTGCAGACGGAGCAAAGCAAGTTCCCCTCACTTTGCGGTATCCTTGTTTTTGTTTAGCGAGGGTCTAACGTTACCCGTCAGGAAAACGAGAACCCATCACCGTCTCTTGGTTATTCGTTCCCCTTCTCCGCTGGAATAGCATCTGGTACTTTCAGCCCGTTAGCCAGCCAGCTTCACTCTTCCTCCACCTCTTCTCCGGACCACGGCGAGAAGACAGGAGACACGCTGCGTATTTCAATCCAATAGGGATGTTACAGGTCCCAGTGTGGACAGTAAAACGGTAGCGTTATTGTTATGCTTTCCAGCCGTATGTCCACCGTTAGCTCAGCCTCCCTTTCTGCCAAATGACATCAGGCGAACACCCCCACGCAGCGTCGCTCACACACACACACACACATGCATACACACACACACACATGCATACACACACACACACATGCATACACACACACACACATGCATACACACACACACACACACACAGCTCAGCGTCTTCGCGTTCAGGAGGGGGCGCTGGTTCTCTCCTCGCGATATTATGTAAAGAAAAAAAACGGGGGTCGTGTTAACGGACGTATTACAAGACCATGGTCGTGTTGTCCTGAGTCGCCCTGCTTGTGGCAATTTTGGTGGGCCAGTGATTATGAAGCCTGAGATAAAAACCACAACAAACATTGGCCAAAATACAACAACAAAATAACACAATAATATTTTGGAAAACACAAATACCAAAAGAGAAAACAACAATATTTCACAAAACGATTAAAACATGACATTTCACAAAACACAACAAAAGATAAACGACATCATAACTTATGTGAAATGTCATTGGGTTTCTGAAAAGAAAAAGAAAGTTCTTTCTAAAATGTTGTGTTTTGTGAAGTGTCTTCTAAAATGTGTTTTGCAAAATGGTGTTTTCTGTTTTGTTGTTTTGTGAAATGTTTTATTTTCTAAAATGTGTTCTAAAATGTTGTGTTCTCTGCTTTGTAGCTGTATTTTCTACTTTGTAATGTGTTCAGTAAACTGCTGTTGTGCTGTATTTTCTAAAATGTTTAATTGTACTGGAGTAGTAGTAGCACATTTAATATAGCATAATGAAACAATACAATGTGACCCTGATCTTGCAATTCCACCATTACAACACCCCATTATGTAATGATAGTAACAAGCCACAAGTCCTTTCTTCACTGCAAGTTGTTTGATTTGACAATCTGAATATTGCAAATTTTGGAATATTGCAAATAATATAAACAAAGGTGGGTGCCACACTGTTAGCCCATTTTGAGGCTGTGTCTTGTGTTGGGGCCCTGTGTCAAAATCTGTTTAAGACCTTTGTTATTTTAACATTAGATTGTGCTCACATGAAACATACTCCTCAATAATGTTTTGATCACACTAGAGCCGAAATTTGTTCAATCATTTCAAAGTATATTTACCTGACATGTTAGTTATCACTGCTCATTAGTCTGTGTGGCTGAATTAATAGTTATCATAGGGCTTAGGGAGTTATTCACTGAGTCTGGTCCAGTTTTTACAGCACAAGTTTCTTGTGTTTATCCTAAATTCCTTATGTACAATTATCTGAGGCATTTGTACTTGAGTATTTCTATTCTTTTGTTTTACTACACTACATTTCATTCCATTTCATTTTTTACTCCACTACAGCTTGACTTACAAGACACTTTGCAGATTAATATTTTACAATTAAAGTTAAGTTTAATCAGTTTTTAAAATATTGTACTTTATTATTATTATACTAAAATGACCTGTCTGTAATATTTAAATGCTGCTTATCAATAATGCATCATTAATACTAATAATGCAACATTATAACATAATGTTAAAATTATCTGATAAAACAAACTTAACTTTGCAACATCATTTTTCTGTGAAATTTCATGCTCAGCAGAAAGAATTACATAGTGAAAGCAAGGCTTATTTGGGAACTGATCTTAATGCTGAAGGTGTCATTATTCTATAGCCATAGCCACATTGTGCAATCAACATTTACTTCATCGTAAGTTAAAGAGAAAAAGTTTCTTATTGCCACTTTAAGGAAACTTTCAATCCTGCAAGAGAACCCTACCAGGTCATGTTTGTGCTTTTGGGGCCCCCTATAGGCTGATGAGTGGAACAATATAACAGTATATATATCAATATAAAAGTGGTAAAACTTCTTTCAGACCAGCCTCACGCTCCTGACACATCCTCAAAACCTACAGTAACTTTGAATCCATTCCAACATACAAATTCAAGCAACAACCAGCTGTTTTTACCGTCATAACTTTAATTTACATAGATATACAGTTAAATTGACAAAAACCCCAAAGAAAATTGCATTATGATTCTCCGGCTCCACATTGGAGCTTACACATATTGCAGGACAGACTACAAATGATTGGTGACATCAAATGAATTGTTGCAAGAGGCTGTGGCTTTAGGGTCCTCTCTCCTTTTTAAGCAGCCAGACACAGCATGCCCAGGTTAAAATCAACGGTTCTTGTTCTTTATTTTCATACTTCATCTACAAATGGTGTATTAATGAGGTGTCCACTAGCTGCCATGGTCTTCTTGCCATCCACAAATTTTTTCGCAGCCTGTAAAAAAAAAAAAGGAGAGAGGTCAACTCTTTAATACATTCCTTGAGTTATTTAATGAGCATTATTGGTCGATGAATACATTATCACAAATTACATTATTTTTTGTTTACTTTTAAAGCCATGATGCAATTTGCAACTCAAACAGTACACAAATCCATTGGCAATCATTACATAAAGAACGTTGAACATAAAAATATATAAGTAACTTTGGATGCATACATTAATAACTTTGTGTTTTTGTAAATAGGTTGTTCTATATTTGTCTTCACTTATTTCTGCATTTATTTTTTGGGTTGTTTTCAAACAGACAATTTTTTACTATGTAGTGTGCTATACTAGCACTGTCACTTTTTATTCAATATTTTAAATACTGTTTAAACGTGACACAAATTGATTGAAAAATGTTATTCTTTATTGATCTGACCGACTTGAAATATCTGTGTATAAGCACAACAGGCCGGTCCATGTATTGCATCAGGTGGCATTTGAAAAATGTATTGTCAGTCTGATTTATTAAATGCCCTGTTGCCCTCTAACTAAACTAGATTATTGTTGTCTTCATTAATAAAAAGAAAATGTAGGAAAATACTGAGCCATAATTGGATAATTATGACTCCAAAGCATCTAAAAAATAATCCTATCATCATTTCTACAGAAAAAGCACTCACCTTGACCACAGCATCCTGGGTGACAGCATCTATAGCCTGGAGAACAGAGTCAGGGAGCTGGTAGGCTGCAGTGGTCAGAGCCTGAGCACCGATCTCCTCCAACAGGCCCTCAGAGCTCTCTATTGACATCAGGTACTCTGCTTTCACCTGGTTTCTATGCAAAAAGGTCAAACACAGAACATATTCTTCAAAACTTGTCTTTCAGCACATTTCAGTGAAAATTGCACCAATAACAATGCATCTGGTGTAAAACTTCTTCTTAGTGGACTCACTTTGCTCTGGTGATGTCAGCCTCGGACACATTTCCCTCAGCTATGCCTCTCACTTGAGCGATGGCAGCTTTGATCACCTGCACAGGACAGAAACAAGCACAAGTTCAGTGAAAGGCAGATTCTGCCATCTTTGCACATTTTAGATGAGGTTACATTTGTCTTGGAAAAAGTGAGTTTGGCCATCACCTCTCCTGCAGAGTCAGCTTGTGCAATAGTATAGACGCCAAACAGGCCAGAGTCAGAGTATGAGGCATTGAAGGCTGTGGCCTGAAAGACAGCAAGAGGTTACCTGATGTTAGGAGATAAAACTCTCTGCATTCAGAACTAATGCAATACAGTAATCCAGAGCAAAACCACAAATGCCAAATTAAAGTTTTAACTCCTCCAACTCACATCAAAGGGCTGTGCGGTAGCTTTGGCAATACCCTGACTCAGTTTGCTGGTGATGTTGGAGCCCCTCTTCACATGTGGACCAGATCCCAGGATCCTTTGCAGCACAGTGAAGGCATTAGCCTCTGCACTACCTGTCACAGCACCCTCGCTGGCAATCAGTGCATGGACCAGATCGTCATTGTTAAGCACTCGCAGCTCACCTACACACACACACACACACACACACACACACACACACACACACACACACACACACACACACACACGTCATGACAATAATGTAGTATGAATCTTAAAAGAGGGTATTGTCCCTTTTAAACTCAGGCTTTTACCTCCACGGTAGACAGATTTCACCACAGGTGTGTCAGCCCCACTGCGGACACTCAGGAGTCCCTCGCCCACCTGCCTCAGGACAGAGTGCTTCACACCTGGACGCATAAATCAGAGAGTCCACCATTAACATACAACTGAGGTGGAACACAGAGCACTTTCATGGACTGAAAAATACCACACATTCCCAGGATTGAAACTGCCATATTAGTGTGATGTGTCGTGCCAACACTTGTAGCATTTGTTTGTAGGCAAAGTCAGCGCTATCACATGTACAAAAATCCACACATAACAAAACCATTAGTGTCACTAGGGCTGGGCAATTAAAGGAAAAATTATCAAAAACGACATTTAGAACCTGTCACCCAGTTAATCTTGCTCATGTCAGTTCATTCGGAAAATACTTTCCCTAATGTGTGTGTTCACCAGTGTGTTCAAATCAACACCACCAATTTGTTTAATCACTTGGAACACAGTCGCATTGCTGAATGTTAAGAGTGCATGTTTAAAAAAAAAAAAGAAAAAGAGAGGGAGTGATAAGCGGCAAAGTAATCATTCATCAATTGTAAAAAAAGGTGAAAGAGGTTGGTTCAGTGCAAACACACACACAAAGTTAATTCACTTCAACAAGACTGGTATGACATCAGAAAGCTAAGCATCAGTTGGTAAAATGGAGCCTCGATAAGCAAAGCCTGGTGTGAAAGGAAAGCTGCTGCAAAGAAGTGATACAGCCAGACTAGACAGCACTAGTAGTCACTCACCTACTCCTACAAGAGCCATTCTGCCAGTGGTGAAATTGTCTTCAACAAATGACTGCAGCTACAGGGGAAGGATAAGGAAGAGGAGGAGAGGTGGGTAAGACTACGCACAATCTAACAAATAATAAGTTGCTATCATTCTCCCCAAGAGGGCAGAGAGCGACGTAGAAATGTAACTTGATTTCCCCTCAAGACCATATAATTAACTATTTTCCTAAGTACAGAAATAGAACAAAACAAAGATTCATACCTGTTTAGAGGAGACACGACCGACCATGTGGTCAGGGCAGTAAAGAGAGTTGGACAGGCCATTTTTGTATGCTGCTTCATGCAACTTCTCAATTATACCTGTGGGACAAAATGGAAAAAGAGACCCGAACTTCAGCTGAGGAAAACTGGGCATCCACGAGTTAAATCCGAGGGACTCAACTAAATGATATTGTTAAATCTCCATAAAGCTGATGTATCTGAGAATCAACAGCCCGATCTGCAGCTATGAGCAGCTTGCCATTTATTGTTTTTATTTGGGAGCACTAACACAAGATTAATTGCCTGCACTTGTCAGATATGTTCAATGCGTGATTGGAATTCCCACGATGAAAACACTGAGCTGAACCTTTGCTCCTGATACTAACCTATTTGAGGACACTGCTGAGCCAGAGCCCTGTCAACCTTCACCCTGGACGTCAGTTCGTCTACCTCCCATGGCCGAAACTCTTGAGTTGTGGTCACATTGACCAAAAACTCCAATAATGAATCTCTGGACACACAGAAACAAGAGTGGTAAAGACATACTGTGGCATCAACACGACCGAAGAGGATTTTTTATAAAATGTACATAAAACACTGTAAGTTTTAAGTAAGTAAAAATAACTTAATTTCAGGCTTGATATGAAGATGGGAGCACTTACAGGTGGTCTCTCAAACAGTCTGCGGTGTAGACCATGGTCTCTCTTGATGATGTCACACTGCACAGTAAAGGAAGTTGGTTCAGTTATGGTAAGACTGGTATTCTCCTATTTATCTATAGCAGGGTAAGCAGGGATGGTCAGTGTGAGAATGTGGAGAGGGTACCCTTACTGACCTCAGGCTGCCCCCCAGTGCTTCCACACCGCGACAGATCTTGAAGGCAGATGCACCCTTGGTAGTCTATAAAAAGAAAAAATTATCTGAATTGAACAACTGCATGTGAGAAAGGTTAACTGTCAGGCTAATGGATTGAGATGCTGCTTCAAAAAATGCAGTGCATTAAAACTGTGTTCTTAATTTCTCATTAAATATGTTGTAAATTAAATGATAGCTTTATCTAGTTTGTCAGTGGCCATCTTTGCTACAGTATGTCACTGTATGAGTAACCATAAAGCTAACTGAACAGAATTGTAGACACGCTTTACAGTTTCCCTGTAGTTTCCCATTACACATTCACAAAATCATTCACGTCACCAGGTTTGCTGCCAGTCGTAGCACATGAGAGACACCCTGGTTTTCCACAGTCTCATAGCGACTCCCAGCTTTCACAAACACACCCACGCTGGACAAGGGGGAGTAGTTCTCCAGTGATGCTATCACCAGACCGTTTGGGAGCTTCGACACCTGAAGCAGCAAAGAAAAATGTTACTGGGAACTTGTAACCAAACAGTCAAGATGTTAATTTTACTGTGTTTTTTTGCACTCCTTTTTCCTGATTAAACGTTGTTGATTCTTTATTAGTGTTTTGGCAGCCTTGAATGGATATTCACATGTAGACAAGAGCAGCACCTACCTGGACATTTTGAGGGGGAGTTGCAGCCGTGGACGGTTTCAGGCCTGCGAGGGGTTCAGTCAGAGCTTCACTCCTCCTGGCAGCAGCGTAGCAACGTTTCTGTGGTCAGAGGTGACACCAAATTAAAGAGAATGATTTCTTAAGCAACATTTCCTGTGAGAGCATCCTCTTCGTTGGTAATGGGCGTCAAGAACAAGAAAGTGCTTAACTACTTCAACTATCCTTGACTTTACCTAACAAGATGTCTAAGTGAAAGTGGCACAGCTTCAAGTGGTGTAAACATTAGGCTCCAGTTAAATAGCCAGTTAGAGAATGGTATACTTTTCCTCACAGGTTCAAGTGCAAGTGCTCCACAAAAATTAGGCTGACATTTGATTGGACAAATCTCACCATCACGAAGATTAGCACAACCTCTGATGTTTCATAACACCTGTCATCTACCTAACAGAATTATAAGTAAATGAGGGGTCAGCATTTGACAAACAGGATAGGAAAACACTAAATTATGTTTGTATAATTTATCTTGTATACCTTTTATCGATATTTATATATTCCTAGATAATTTTACCCCTTATGGCCTCTAAAAGCGATTCAGATAAAACACAGAATAAGAAATCACTGTCTGATAGACCTGGTCACAACCTACAGACAACATGTAACTGCAAACAGAGGGGTCTAGTACACATTGTGTTGTTTTAGGGGGTGTTGCAACGATAAGTCCATGAATAGATCGGTCAATTGACTGAAAATTTGATAATTGATTAATCATCAAAAAAGGTCAAAATTGTTTTGTATCATATTAAACCGATTACCTGTTGATCGGACAAAACAAGGCATCTAAAGACGTCAACTAGAAATCTGACTATCCTCTGACATTTTACAGAACAAATGGTTAATTGAGAAAATAATCGCCAGATTAATCTATAATGAATATACTCATTCACATATATTTTTACTTGAAAATAACCCAAAATAATACTTTGATTTGTTCCATCAGCTGAATGACTGATTACTTAACGTTCATGCACTATATGTTCAAATCCTTCTACGGCATGTCAAAGAGCAGACACTGGCAACCTGTCTGTCTTAAAGTAAGGTGGGCGACCTGAAACGACCCGTGCAAATATATTACACTGAGGCCAATCACTGCATGTGTCCTGTCAACACAGGCTGGGGTTGCTCTGACAGTGCATCGGTAAAATGTCAGCCTTTCACCAAAATATGACCAAAGCCGGGGTGTTGTTCCCTTCAAGACACCTGGATGAAGTAATAGGGGGTTTACAAGTTCAGAGATGACCTTCAGCAGAAACATAAGCTATGAACTGCCGCTAAGCTAAACCGAAATAAGCTATTTCATAGCACCTCACCTGCATTTTATCTGCCCTACAGTACATTTGAATGATTCAGTCAGAAGGTGTTACTTAACTCGGCTGTAAAACCATGCGAGCTAGCCTTAAATTAGATAAACTTGCATTAGCCAGCCACCTAGCAAGCTAACTAGCCACCGCGCTAACTACGGGTAAGTGCGGGCTCTTTTTTGAAACAGGTCGAGAACCACAACGACAAAAGTTTAGTTTCTGAAGGTGACACAGTTCAGATCAAACCCAGAAAACACGGGACTCACGGGGAGACTGTTCAGGGAACGGATTCCTCTCATGACTCCAGACTCTCCTTCAGCCGGTACAGAAAGACAGATATGGCGACGAGCTGACGTCTCTCCCACAATCCACTGCACCGTGCAGCTCAGCAAAGATGATTTAGGATGGCAAGATGAGGAGTTCCAGCCGCTGCAGCGGCTTCATATTGCATTGCATTCACAGAGAAGACTTGCCTCTCATAATTTTGACTTTCGTGTATAACATGTATGACTTACCATCTTACAATTCTGAAAAAATAAATAAATAAATATATCTCACAACTACGAGATAATGTAGATTAACGGGGCAAATGAACAAACTTTTTTTTTTTTTTTTTTTTTAAGTCTTTCCTTTGGGGCTTTGGTTAAAAATGTCTGTGGGGTAAGGGTGTCTCCATGCTGCTGTCGCCAACATGAAGGCATAATAAGCAAGAACTTATTTTGGGGGTTGGGAATTGAACACACAAAACAAATTGGTAGTCTACAAAAATTAACCGTTTAAGTACTACATGACTGCTGGTCACAGTGTATTTGTTTTAAGACTATTCTGTGAAATAGAAAAAAAAATAAAAATAACATGCACCATCATTCACAGTAAAGAATTAAACATTTTTATTAGAACCCAACTGCATTTAAATTCACTAAAATGCATGACGCACACTACAATACAAAAATATACTGAACATGTTACAGGTAGTAAAGACAATCATTCAAAACTTACAAAGTTTAATTACAAAAACACTGCTTACGTATAGCCATCTTTTTCACAGGTAATCTTTGAAAATATTCACGATTCAATTCTTTTGATAGAGCGAAATGTTAAACTATTTTTTTTCAACGGTCATTCTCACAGCTAGTCACACCCCAATAAATACATCACATAATAATGATACAAAAATACACTATGTTGGCTGGGAAAATCTTCACAGATTAGAGGTGCTGGGACATAAAAACAATACCCACACATGTTCACATCATACAGAAAGTAAGTTCTGACTGCTGACTGAGTCGTCCATTACAGTTAATTGAGGTCATGTGACATCAACATTGCCTTCTTCCCTACACCAAGTGAGTGAGACTCATTCCATAAGCGTCAATGATTTTTTTTTCTTTTTTTTTTTTTAAAAACCCTGACTACTTTTTGCCATCAGTAACAGCTCAAACAGTGGTATGGCAAATCCAGGCATCACTTCTCAGCTTGCTGGTTTCCACAGCTCTGAGCTTTGTAGTGCACTGGCTCTGAAGAGGGCGCAGACAAGAACAGGAAAGATTCCTCCACGATATCCTGCTTCAGTTGTCATTTGGCGTCCCAGGAGAGCTGCTCATGTGGATATCCTTCCTCAGCTGGAGAGACACACAGCTGAGCCAGCTGCGACTGGTGGGCATCTCCCCGACAATTTCCCAGGTGTCAGTCTCATCACAGAACCTCTCGATAGTGTCGTGATATCTGCATGTACAAATGAACTGCATTAAACTCTACAGCGAATTCAACAGTTATATCAAACAGCCCCTTTTTCCTAAGAAGAAAGGCTGTAAATATGTTTGTCCTCCTGTTTTTACATCTACAGGAACTAAATCAGGAACCAAACGCCCCTTTTGTTCACCCCCGATGATCTGCAGATACAGAGTTTCTGCACCAGGCAGAATTTTGCTCAGGTGTTTTTTGAAAGATGCTGCCAAGATTTCCTGGCTCCTCAAACATAGCATCCCTCCCTTCTCTGGCTCACTCTGGTGGGTCTTTATGATTTTTTGTTTCTTTGTCAAATTTCAGGGTGAAACACTTTGCTCCATTCTCGTCACGTCTTCTTAACAGAATGAAGCCAAGTCTGAAAGCAGTTCAAAGACCATGTTGTTTGCCTTACAGTCTTAGCCTCATTTTTGCTCTTCTCTGATTTCATCATTTAACTCAAATGTTATTTGTGGAAATATTCCCATCTTTGAGGTGCAAAGTTTGTTACAATTAAAGACGAATAGCCTAATGACGGTTAATGTAATCAACAGATATTAGAACACCTGTAAAGAAGATGCGCACACACACACAAAAGCCAATAAAGATTACAAGAAATGTCGATCCCTTGCCTATCATTGATACTTGTGGCACTCAGTGATTGCCTACTGTGTGACTGAAGCTGTACACAAGTTGTGGCAGACGCAAGATGTGTGTTTAACTAATCAGTGATATTAATGTCTGCAACCTCTGCCTTAAGTTGTTCCCAGATCCTGTGACATCATGAAATACAAGGTGTGAAGCAGTAAATGTTCCAATTTTTGAAATGCAGGTAAAACAGATTAGATGACCATTATATGTAGAAGTAACTTTTCTGGACAGCCCCTCACCTGTCCCAGCCTTCTTCTCCTCCCAGGACGTAGATCTTTCCATCCACCACAGCAGCACCGGGCCGGTAGCGCCGTTCTTTCATGGGGGCGCACATGGTCCACTGGTTGGTCTTGGGATTGTAACACTCCACCTTATCTGTGTTCTCTGTCGAGGCATGCCATCCGCCTGGGAGAAGGAAAGAGAGATTCAACAGCAGAAAAGACTGCATGTGTTGACTGGTGAGCACTGTGACTTTAGAGAAGGTTGAAGGCCGAGTGCTGAGAAGTGTAATACCTATAACATAGATCTTTCCTTTGAGTGTACAGGCTGCCGAACCAGAGCGCGCGATCTGCATCGGGGCGACCTCTGTCCATACTGAGGTTTTAGGGTTGTACACCTGGGCGAGGTCTGTGCCGTCTCCATCCTCTAAAACTGCTCCACCTACCAGGACACAGAGAGACACATGGTTACTCTAAAACAAACAAACAAAACAAAACAAATAAAATAAAATAAAAAGCACAACCTCAGTAATAACCTGCATGCGTAAAACCTCCATTTCATACCAGTAACATAGAGCAGTCCGTCCAGGGCCACCACAGCCGGACTTGTGACGGCCATCTTGACAGACTCTGTGAACTGCCAGGAGTTGGTGTGGGGGTTGTAGCACTCCACTGAGTCCAGACGAGACCTTCCCTCCCACCCTCCCACTGCATACACGAACCCGTCCAGCATCACCAGGCCTGAGTGGAGAGAGTGGAGTGAGAGAGATTCACTATTTAGTCACCAATGATAACAATGTTTCACTTAAACATGAAAGACATAAAGACCTATATTTGAATCCAGAGCTTCTAAATGTGTTTCTGTACTGCGTCAACTCATTAAAACATGTCATTACTTTTAGCCATCGTCTCTAGTTCTGTTTTTGTTTTCACTGCTTTCTGCCCAGTTTGAGGACAAGTTCCTGGCACTGCTCAGACAAATGTTCCAGGAACCTTCAGAGTTTGTCGACAGCGTGGCTGATCCGGATCAGTCAAGTAGTTGTGTCACCACATCGCAACAAGGACGACTAAAACAAACGTAACAACAGTGACCAAAAATTCTTCTGTATCAGCATCAGCCAGGACAATTAGTGCTTTAACAATGAATAATAATGAAGAATGCTTGTTGGCCAAACTGTCCAGGCCCTCATTAGTATTTGGGGAGAGGAGGCCATTCAGAGGGAGTTAAGTGTTTCTCGCCCTCAGTGTGTGGCAGGAACTAGGATACGACACACAGCCAAACAGTTCAAGCAAGGATGAAATAGATGAAACAAGAGGTTAGAATACACCCTCTGATCAGCGCTATTTCCTCATCCTCTCATGCTGAACTATGGGCAGACTGGCCGCTACACTGACTCACTATCGCAAAGTAGGAGACAGGACAGGTCGGGGCTCGCTGGTTAGCATGCTAACTCCGGTAGAAGAAAACAAATGGTAGAAATAGAAGCAAGACAAGAGTAATCATGGGCGTTGCTGTCCACCTCTGGAGACAGCTCTTGCCGAGTAAATGAATGGAGTTTCATGCTAAACTTCTACACTGGTACGTAAACAGCCATTAATACTAGCACTGGCTATGTAGCAATAGCAAAAATGTCACCTGAGTCAGCACCAGTTGGGGATGACGACTACAAACATTTGCAACTAAAAACAAGGAATTCCAAGCTAAAGTGCATCTAAAATATGACTATAGACATGAAATGTTGAGACATAAGACTGAGTTATGGGAAAAGAACAAACAGTGAATGAACATATTGTGGAAATCACTGAAGGATGTGGTGATGTAAGATTTCAGAGCATGACAAAGAAGGGCCTGCTGTGGCTGTGCTGTTGTTGTAGTAGCACAGCTGACTAAATGTATGGCATAGTATACTGCACTTGTCATAAATGTCATAATGCGGCAGCCCTACCTAACTCAGATCGAGCTACATTCATGGGCGCCATCTCCATCCAGGAGTCGAAGCAGGGGTCATAGCGCCACATCTCCCTGCTGGCTGAGCCGTCAGGAAACTCCCCTCCTGCTAAATACAGGGTCGAGTCTACAGAGGGACAGAGAGGGAGGAGGGGTGGGAGTTGGGGGACAGAAACATGTCACCTGTCATGTGCACTACATCTAAGCTTTGTTGCTCATTTGAGAGGAGACACAATGTGGAGTCTGTTATGAGCGAGTTTTCATCTCAAAAGAAACTGACAGCGTCTCCCCACCTGACACGACCAGCCCGTGTTTGCTGACAGCGAAGGGCAGACAGGCCAGATTCTTCCACTGATTCGTCACAGGATCGAAGCTCTCGACGCTGCGCAGCACCACTTTGTCGTCCTCCCCGCCAACTGTCACTATTACTTCAGCTGTCCCTGTTGCCATGGCAACAGGGGGAGAGGAACAGAGAGAAGTGAGCCGAGGCATTCCCCAGTAGGATACAACGTACTGGTGTGTAGGGCTGCAACTAATGATTCCCTTAATTATCGATTATTCTGTCAACTAATTTCTCCATTGATCAATTCAATTTTTTGGTCCAGAAAAAGTTTTTTTTTTTTTTTTTTAAATGCCCATGCCCAAGTATATGTGGTTTAATGTCATTAAATGTTTAGCCACATATTCATAACCAAATATTTACAGTAAAAAAAGCTGTAAACGGGGCCCTTCTGGCATTTTTAAAAAAAAAAAAAAAAAAAAGAAATTTTCAAAATCATATTGATAATAAAAGTTACTGGATAATTAACTGACTAGGCACCTAAAGTGAAGGGGGTGGTGCTGTCTAATAACCAGTTTAACAATTGAAAATGAGTGCCAATAAAAGTCTAATGTGTTATAGAGACACCAAGATACAAATATTTCAAGCTACAAAGTCCTAAATTTCAAGTCCGACCAAAGAGAAAAAAACACACTAGGCTGACAGAGATAAACAAAGACACAGCCTCTACCCATAATGAAAATACATGTTGCATTGGCTCTCAGTTGTTCTGAATGTGCACGTGTGAGTATGTTTACCTGTGGACCTGCGAGGCCTCGCTCTGGGGCAGTAGAGCTCTCCACGGCGGTCCTTTAGCAGCAGGTAGTCCTTGGCCTCGGAGATGAGCCTCTGGCAGCCCTGGTTCTCCTTCACCACTTCCAGAGACTCGATCACATCGTGGAGGTAGTAGGGGCTGATCAGAGGCAGGCGGATATGCTCGAGGACCTAGGAGAAACAAATGAGAGAAGAGAAATCTGATTAACTCAGATGGCTCATCTTAGTTGATGCAACTTTTATCCAATAGGAGAATTTGAGACTCATGGCTCATATACGTAGCATCTATGGGTGGATGACTGAAAGAGCCGACCAAGCATAGGTGTGTCTATTCTTGTTGGAAAGCAAGAAAGTAGAGCCTGACCGTTTTTGGCCTATCACAGATTTATTGGTATTGATGTGAATACTTTTATCAAAAAGCAATAATGCAGTGGAAATGCTTGGGTCAAGTCAAGTTATATAAGCAGCATTTTATGTATATTTGATCCTTTGTTTTCACTCAAGTTAAATATATATATAAATAAATGTATATACAGTACATATAGAATATCTGCTGATAGAAATAGATATAAGGTTAGACTATTATATTTTTGCTCAGTTTTCCTGATACGACAACACATACTTGTAGTGGGCCATGAACGTCTGAGATTATCCTCGCCCAAACACTGATCAAAGACATGCTCAGTGCTACCACAATCTCTGCTACAATACATCCACAACAAAACAAGAGGAGATGGAGAACTGTGTGCATTTTCATATGACATGTCTATACTGAGTCTGACCTTTTCAAAGCTCTGTTTGCGAGTGGGGCATTTATTCAACCACGACATGGCGGCCTCAAACACCATCTCCTCTTTGGGCACATTGAGTTGGTCATTGGCAATGATTTCTGTCAGTTTGTCCACACACAGAGACAGGAACTCCTCCTGGGGGTGGGGGGAAGAAATAGAGCAGGATTCATTCAATATTGGCAAAGTGACAACTTACGCCTGGTTTACACACACACACACACACACACACACACACGGTCAGACAGACACACACACACACACAGACACACACACACACACAGACACACACACACACACACACACACACACAGGAAGTTAATCACTCATAGCCATTGGTTCAACTGCTGACAGGCAGGTAGATTATCTCTGTTAAACCCCTGTCACACATGAAACCCACAACACTGCCAGGCTCCATTATCCTGGTCGGGTGATGTTGGCTAGTTTTTAAACAATAGTTCTGAAATAACTAGAAAATTCACCTAGAAAAAAAAAAACAAAAAAAACTGATCGACTTCACATTCACACACATGTTCACTCTGACATTTAATAGCTCCACATCACAACCTGACATCCACTGTGAAGACACTGAACTGCTCCTCTAGTCCATAGCAAAGAGTGAAGAGCACATGATGACGAAGACTTTTAATATAAAGCTGTCTCTGTTTTAGGATTGATTTTGGTTCAGGGAGTATGTTTGGGCAATATGACAATTAGAGCCGCAAAAATGCACCTGTGCTCTTTCACCCCGACGATGAATGCTTTATTTCATAAAAATATTTTTTCAACGATAGCTATGAAGTCTTGGTCTTTGAATCTAGTTAGGTGACCTACATTTGCTAAAGACACTGCGGTAAACCCTCAGGTCATTGTGGGAAACGGTGTAAATCAGTGAGTATTTTTATTTTTTGGATATTTCTTTCATTAGTTTAACCAAAAACAGACATTCCTATCTGGTTCTTTTATCTATACACTGTGGCAGAAGATACTGTTTACTATTTAACATTATCACAATACAAAATTAACTAGACGACCATTGAAGAACACATCCACCTGTAATTGGGAGTTTATCTGACATTGCTCTTGGCTACTGCTGCAAATATACCAGACTACAGGAGTCAACACTGAGACTACAGTGACAATATAACACGGCCCCATCGGCCTCTCACCTGCTGATAAACACTGTTGAAGTGCTCAAGGATGTAGTCCATGCTGCGTTTCTCCAGCACTTTACAAGAATGGGCCTCTGCAAAGCAGTGAATCCCCACACAGTTCATCTCGTCCATCTGACGCTCCATGAAACGACAGCAGGCCTCTCTAACAGCCATCACGTCCAGCAGGTTGGCTGCTGCCAGCAGGGCCTACGACAGATTCAGTGTGTGTTTAGCACACATGTTGTTTCAAAGAAAAGAGAAAAGGTGAGAGTGGATACTTTACCTGCACATTTGCTTTTGAGATGTAGACCTCTGATGTGTAGGCGTAGCTCACCAGCATGCCAATCATCTGAGGTTCAACTCCATTGATGGCAACCCGCTCCTGTTTGGACTCTATCAGGTCAGTGGAAAACATTGCCTGAGGGGAAACACAATAAACAGCTGTTGTTCACATGACTTCCTTAGCAGATAAACATGAACTGGTGCCCGTCACTGACATAGCTGTGAGGAAAGCTGTGTTTACCTGGAAGTAAGAGCTGAAAGAGGCCAGCACAATGCGATGACAAGGGAACTCCTGTCCTCCACAGCACAGAGTCACATCACAGAAAGCGTTGTTGAGCCGCAGGCTGTTCAGGCCCTGCAGGACAGTGCTGGGGTGCCTGGTCTCCACAAACAGGTAGTCCTCCTGCAGCGGGAAGGTGACGTTCATAGCGGAGGGAGAAGGCAGACTGGCGTTGACAGCAATAATTTCAGCCATGTCTTACTCTGCTAGGCAAGCCTGGGAGTCAATACAGAGACAGTTAGGACTCTGGCGTCTGATTATGACACCGAACCACGATTTGAATGGTAACCGGTCATGTTTTTCTATGCAAATTAGCCCCCGTAAGCTCTAATGTTAGAATGACATTAGTATAAGTCGCAAGAGAAGCAACAAGGCGAGGAGAGAGGCAGTCTGAGATTGTCTTTTAGCTCACTAATTAGGCTTAGCTCAGAAGGAGCGGCTTGGCGGCGCAAACGAGCTGGTTTCTACCGAGTCAAACTAATGAGTCGTTTCAGGAGGAGACAGACGGCGTACAGACAGCTGTGACAGTGAAACACGTTACCTGTTAGACATGATCGTGACTACTACAGTGCAAACGCACTCTCCCACATTCACACGGTGAAGCGTCAGACGGCAATAAAGAGCAGCAGCCACCGGAAGCCCCTCCCACCTATGTAGCCCAAGTCAAGATAGTTCATCCCTCAAAATTTCTGCTTCGTGCAAGTAGCAGCAACAACAAACAAACAAAGCCAAACAGAAATAATACACACAGTGGACAGGAATGTCACATGAAAAATATGTACAGAATATGCAATCTACTTAAAATACTAAGGAATATCGTCTAGTCTATGACTGGTGAATTTACATTCATGGACATGTGTTTTTGCAAAAAAAAAAAAATTATTGTTTGCAAATTTTATGCTGAGATAAGAATAAAAAAATTATTTTGTATGTATTTAAACTTAAATGTCTTAACAAGGTTGAATTACCATCCAGGCAAATTTTTAGGGAACACATTTTAAGCAGTATTAATTGATTTTACCACTTAGGAGCTGTAAACACAGCATTGATACATGTTTACCTAGCTGATTATGCAAACATATTAACAATCAGTTGCAGGGCAGGATTTAGCTTGTCTGGCCTTGGGGAGCAGCTCTGTCATTATCACATTTGTTGTTTTTAAATAACTTACCTCCTTAACTTAAGCTCTATGCTTCTCAACCTGGAGGAAAAATGCTATTTTTGCCACATTATAAGTCTGAGCCTATTTTATTGCAAACATATTTTTTGTATGTATGTAGATTTATCTTAATGCAATGACAATGAACTTGAATGTGTTTAAACAAAACACAATCACGTTGTGATTAAACATGAGTGTATTTTATCTCCTCAAAGCCAGTACATTTATTATGAATGGTAAATTCTCATCACTCAGCCACCCACCCAAGCTTCATTTTAAATTTATCAACTACAGACTTACTATACATTTTTTTTCATCCTTTTCACCTTTTCATATTCACATTTTTTGTCACAAAATCACAGTAACTGCCCTCTATTTTTGGAATCAAAAATTCTGATAAACTCATCCTTACATGACCTTAGTGGCTCCTCATCAGTTCCCTTTTCTATCCTGCACCGGTTGCCTCTCTCTTCATCATCTCCACCCACAAGGTAAACACTTGCGCACATGGCAGCGACTGGATTGTTGGAGATTGGTGGCAGCTTTTGACACGGGAAGCAGAAGCATGCATTTTAATTGACATTATATTACTTTCCTATTTACACATCCAGCAGACATGGACCAACATTAGAAAATTAATCTGAGTCATGTCTCTGGCCATCTGGTGAAGAAACCCCTGAGAAAAATGATCATTTCTTAAACTGCTAAATGCTCCACTATGTTCACCAGCTATTTGTTGACCTTGTCTGCACTTTGGTGGTGGGCAGCCAGTGTACAGCGGGCTTATCTGACCTTTTTGTCTGAAAACAAACTGGACTGTTTTTCCTTTGGCACTCTTGTACATTTCTGAACATAACACTAACTACAATCCAGATTAATACATTTTTCTAACTTTACCTAGCATGAGATCCAAATCTGGTTAAAATGATTGTATGTGCACACTGTTGTTGTCAAAGTAAGGAATTTAGTTCTTTATTTTCTTGTGTTTCTTCATTTTTGGTGGGTAGATTTCTTTCGACCACAATATCAAAAACTTAGTGGTTTACCTTGTGGTGACCAATGTTTTATCCCCTAAATGGAAGCTGAGTCCCCACAATGTGACTGTGTGAACATACCCACAATGTGATGAATACAAATGGACAAACACACACATATTTGCATCAGAGAATGTTAAATTGGAGATATTATTTTGCACAGGTTTTATTTATTAGACAATTATGTTGTCAAACAGTAAAAATAATTATAAAAAATACAACAGCATAATCAAATCAATTGCTATCTCATTAATGGACAGAAACAATCACCAATTCTGTATCAAAATACCTCTTGTTTTTGTCTACACAGTGATGCTGTTTATTTGAAATAAAATACCATGTGTCTATTCTTTTTTATTTTATCATAAATAATAAGAATTTTCTGCTGTTTTTGAACTATACATCTAGAGGGTATCATTGAGCCTGTAAGTCCGGACTCTCCTGTCTTGCTGTTTGTAATTGGTTATAACATACATAATAGTGTATAAACACAGCTGTGCATATTATTCCTTCTCTATAAAGCACTATATACGTTTGATCTCTTTAAAAAGTGGGACTTGCTTTGGAGAAACAGTTTGCTGAATCATTTTTGTTTTATAGAGAAACTACTGGCTCTCTTCGCAAAAAAATACAGACCCATTTTAAATTTCAAACAGGATTAAAAATCACTGTTCATGTTTTATTGGCTCACAAGCAGCTGTCCTTAATGACACCAGGGCTCTCCAGTGCGTTCTTTCTGCGAGCAACAGCTTCCAGGATCTTCTTCCTGGGTCCCAGCTGGATGCGAATGCCTTTCAGGTCTTCATCAGAGCAAAGCATGAGTGCTTCCAGGTCGAGATGCTCTCTGTTGAATGCGAGGGCAAACTCTGGCAAGGAGATCGCAGACAAGAATGCATCCAAAGGAGAGGTTTCCTCATCTTCATTATCATCCAGGCCCAGATCTTCCTGATCCCAGGGCAGATCAGCATCACCTGCCCCCTCAAAGCCATCAGCATCTTCATCTGCCTCAAACAATTCGTTCTGAACGAGGTAGCCGAGATTTTCATTGTTCCCACTGGGGACGTCATCTGACTCAAGCCCCATCTTCTTCATGAAAATCAGACCTCCAAGACCTGGCCGGTTGAAGATGGACTGTTTTACTTGGCTTGGTTCATCATTGTCATCATCATCTTCAAAGCCTCCCGTTCCTTCTTCATCGAACATGTTTTCATCCTGCTCGTTGAAGACATCCAGAAACTCTGGCTTCTCAGATGCGCCGTTCTCCTGCTTGAGGAAAATAACATTCCCATCACCTCCTGATCTCTGCAGTGTGCCTTTATCTTTCTTCCCAAGCTTCTTCTGGAGGGTGCCTTTAACCCTGGCTGTAAGAGAGCCAGATTTATCAGCAGCAATAAGCTTGGAGAACTGTTCATTGATGCCGGTCATGGTACCACTGTTTGAGAGTGATGATGCCATGCTGGCCTCTGAAACAGACCCAGTATTGCTTGCCCCACGGTGCATTCTATCCATCTTGCTCTGGTGTTTCTTCTTCACCTTCTCACAGAGCTTTACACGTTTCTCCGCTTCTTTGATGGCTTCCTTCTTTAGATTGGCGACCTTCTTGGCATTTTGGTTGGTCTGCTGTGAGGCAGCAGCATCTAGGAAGCGCACACAGTCCATGCGGTCACGAGAAGCAGCAACGTCCATAGCTGAGTGGAATTCATTGTCCAGGGCGAAAAGGTTGGCACCGAAGTTGACCAGGAAACTGAGGATGTGCATGTGGCCATTAGCTGCAGCATGGTGCAACGGTGTGTTTCCCCAGATGTCACTCCTGTTGGGGTCTCCTCTGTATGACACAAAAGAACATTTTTGATTCAAAGTCACTATCTGCAACTTTTTCATTGTTGTTTTGTTACTGTCTATGACCTGTTGATTTAACCTCTAGTCAGCTCAAAAAGGTTAGTGAAAGTCTTTCACAACTTTAATTAACAGGTCTTTTTAGCTTGTTTTTGTTGTCATGACTCAACTGAAGGTTAATATTCCACATTTTGAGAAATATACTTATTCCCTTTCTTTCTGAAAGTTAGATGAAGATTGACACCACTCTTAGCCTATGTGCGCATGGAAAATATGATGCCGGAGCTAGCAAGCAGTTAGCTTTGCTAAGAATAAACACTGGAAACAGGGGGAAACAAGTAGCCTGGGTCATAACAAAATCTGACTAACATGTTATATCTTGTTTATTTCTTCTGTACACAGACGTATAAAAACAGCAATTTGTGGTATTACAGCGGATCAGACTATTTCTTGTCAGGGAACAGTAACTCTTAGAGTGTCTGTGGGTTGCCTGGCAACTGGAGCTGCCCGAGAAATAGTTTGATATGTAAAATATATAAAGTGTTAATTAGTGAGCTTTAAAGGTGGTGGTAGTTGGATTTTGTTACCTTCAAACAAAGCCAGGCAAGTCAGCCTTATGCTAAGCTAAGCTTCCCAAAATGTTAAACCATTACCTTAAATGTAAGACAAGAATGAACGAAGTCTTTCAGATAGCTAAAACACTCACATAATATAACTATATAATAATAAACATTTTTGAAGATAATTGGTAAACTATTAAGATTTAAAGTCCTCCATTGCTATGCCTCATTGTCACAGCCATAAAAGTCCTGATTGCTGTAATACTGCAAGACCTTGTCATAAATACCAGCTCATACTGGTAATCACCAAAGCGGAAATGCTTTAGTTAATTCTGGCCACGTAGGTGAGACATGTGTTACGCCCTACTAAATATCTTCCAAACATTTTTTCTCAACCTCATTTTTCAGTAAGAATGTTGTTGGTTTTAGCCTGTCTTTTGTTTTATTGAATGAGGGATGGAGGTGGGGGTGGTAGGGATAGAAACAGGGCTCTTTTGTTTCACAGGATGGCTTTGGCTGATTAAACACTTGGCTCAGCTCATGGGAGAGAGTAGTTTAAAGAGTGGAATTAAGTTTTAGCTCATTAAGGTATAGTGGAAACCATAAACACATGACACACAGTAGGAAAGCATAAAACACATTTTTCAGCCATAAAATTGCCTATAAAATAATGTTAACCTTTGCTCAGTGAATACTATTTATGTTTCCTCGGTAGTGCTGACTTTAGTTTCATTTTAGGGCTAATACATGAAAAAACATTACATTAGAAATTACATTAAAATGTTTGTATTTACATGTCTTAGTGTAACAATATATACAAAGTTATCTGACATACTTTCTTTGTGACATATTAAAACATTTTAAATTATAAATTTAAATTGAACTTTGATAGATTACAGGACCTAAGACTTAAATGCTATGGCCACAGATTATTTGAAGGCTATGTGATGAAGCACAGGTGATAGAGAGGAGTGTATCATGCTTACTCTCTGCTGCATATGAGCTGAAGAGCATCGACATGTCCGTGGAAAGCAGCCAATAAGGTGGGAGTCATGCCATCTTCATCCGCAGTGTTCAGGTCCTTCCTTGTGGCCTCCTTCAAAAGGTCCAAGTAGCCATCAATCGCTGCTTTGTGGTACCTAGTCATCTCCTAAAATAGCAGAAAAGGTCCAAACAAATCCACTCCAGTCAGATGCACAGAGTGACGCGACTGCAGACCCGAGCAAACAAAGTGATCACTGGGCGTCAACATATCAGCAACCCAGAGCCATAAAACAAAAGCAAAGTCCAGTTCACTACTGTTGTCAGCTGCTCCATTACTGCGTGAGCTCATCCGCATCAGTTACTTGAAGCTTAACTATGAAAAGTGAGATTCACAAATTGCATCACAATGCACATCACAATTACTGAAAGTGATTTTTCAAGTATTTTGTTGTGTTTGACCATCAGTCCAATGTCTCAAAATGGTTTAGTTTACTGTAATTTAAGACAATGAGAAAACTTTTGAAAGGCTGAAACAGTAAAATGTTGAAAAATGTATCTGTTATCAAAACAGTTGTTGATTTATATAATAAATCAGAATTTAGATAACTGACTAATCAACCAATTGATTAGTCAACTAATCATTTAAGCTCAAATTTGTAGTTGAATAAAACCTCATCATATGTTTTCTATATAAAATCTCAAGTAACAAGTACTTTACAATCAGGTTTTTATGTACATAAGTGCATGTACATATTGTTCTGTGTATAAAATCAGCAAGAAAGCTGATTTTTAATTTTAATCACTTCCTTCATAGTAGCCATTTTATGTTTTTTTTTTTAAATATATATTTCCACTATGGTTTAAACTGCATCATAAATGATTTCTATTATTTGGAAGTTTTTTCAAATCCTGTTCCACCCTCCACTCCAGTAGGTGGCTGTAATGCGTCCTTGTAAATCGTTAATCACCAACAGACAAAGAAGAAGAACAAGCAGTCGAAAGCAGAAGAAGAGTTTACTACCTGATCCACCAATCAATGGAGACTGGGAGGAAACATCGCTCGATAGTTTTCTCCCAACAGTGCTTTCTTTTTCTGTCAGCCTTTGGGTTTGTAAATACCATGGGGTTGTAGCCGTGAACATTTAGCCCACTTCTCTCTCCCTACGATTTCCGCAGCTAGAAAAACCGGACCGACCACTGCCTACCTCCCCCGGTTTGCTTCGCGGTTACTTCCCGGCGTTTAGTGCTTGTGCTCTGACCGGGAGAGGCTGCAGAGATGTCCGACAACGGCGGCTTGGCTGTCGGCCTTCTGTCTTACGATACGCTTGTTCACGCCGTGGCAGGTGCAATGGTGAGCAGAGACACAGTGCAATAAGAGATGTCATAACTTCATGTGGAGTATGTGGCTGTGACAGTTCTTAAGTTGTTTCCAGTGTTGGTGTTGAAGAAACAGTGTAAACGGGGAGTTGCTGAGCCGTTTGTCACAATGTTTCCGATCAAACACATTAAAAAGCTTTGTCTTTTATCAGGGGAGTGTGACAGCTATGACCGTCTTCTTCCCTTTGGACACGGCCAAAAGCAGACTTCAGGGTGAGTTGGAAGCCTTATCATCTTGTACAGAGGTTACCTGATAGCAGCAACTCCAAACAAGGCTGAATCAGTTTAGTGTGACGGTTTACTTCATTATGGAGTAACTAGGAGGAACTGCAGCCCAAAGATGTAAAGGAGCACTCCACTAATGTATTATTACACTCTCATAAAGATGAGGGACTTGGTCAAAGATTATGAAGCTGAGACCAAGATATCCTAACTTTTAGTTTAGTCTTTGAGTCCGGCACATAACTACACACAGACACCTTTAAAAACATCAGCTCAGGACATACCTATCTACTCAGGCCCATGTGTGCTTTTTATATATTTAATAATTGCCTACTTTTTGTCTTTTATTGTGACGTTCTGATCTCAAAACGAGATATATCCCATTTTCATGAGACCCTCTCTGTCTGGTAAACACTCATTTACTTCAGACTCCATATCCCCAATTTGTTACTGATTTTGGTGGTGTGACCCTTTAACATTCAGATAACTTGTTCACTGACTAATGCCACTTTTTTGTTTGTTTTCAGTGGATGAGAAGCGGAAGTCTAACTCCACCCCCATCATCTTGGCTGAGATTGCAAAGGAAGAAGGCCTGTAAGTATAGTTTTGTGCCATACTATAACAGAACTGGCTGTGTTTCATTTCTACCAAGTAATGTCTTATTTTGTACTTAAAATTGAGTGAAACACAATTGTAATGGAATTGCAGAAGACATTTATGATGAGTATAATCTAAACTAGAGCTGAAACAGTAATTTTACCACTTTGTTGATCAATAATTGATCAGCAGAACTTTTGTTAATTTACTAATTATTTAAGTCATTTTCATAAGTCATCAAAATTTTTCTGTTTCCAGTTTCTCTTCTACCAGAGATGTGTATCTCTTGACATTATTATAGACCAAGGGATTCGTCAATAAAACAATCAGCAGGTTCATCAGTAATGAAAACAATCATTAGTTGCAGCCCAAATTACTGTCTCACTTATGTTTAGGCCGATGATATGACATGACCAAACACTCACTGTTTGAGTGACTCCACCACTTCTCCTAGTCTGTCTCTGTATAGAGGCTGGTTTCCAGTCATCTCCAGCCTCTGCTGCTCCAACTTTGTCTACTTCTACACCTTCAACACTCTGAAGAAGCTGACAGCATCTGGTCCGGGCAAGTCCAGACCCAGCAAAGACCTACTCATGGGGGTCGTAGCAGGTAAACAGACATACAGTAAAAATAATATACATTAATGACTTGGTGGAAATCGAGTATTAAGGGCGTTGACTGAAGAACTCAAAGCTGTTTTTCTACAGGTTTTCTTGTAGAAAAACAAATTATGTTTACATTCAGTGTTACTCTCAAAAACCCAGTGTGTGTATCCTTGAGGCCTGAGAAAAATTGAATGCATTTCCTTCCTTGTAACACATTCACAAAGCTGATTTTCATTTGAAAAAAAAAAAAAAAAAAAGTATTTTAAACCTGCATTGTTTATGTTGAGGCTGCAAGTAACAATAATTTCCAGTAGCGATTAATCTGGTGATTATTTTTTATTTGATTGAGAAATCATTTGGTCAATAAATTGTAAGAAAATTGTGTATAATGTTCATCACGATTTCCCAGAGTCCATGTTAACAGCTTCAAATGAATTTTTTTTGTCCAACAAACAGAACTAAACTCGAAGATACTCTTGCAATGATATGAAACTAAGAAAAGAAGCAAATCCTCACATTAGAAATGCTGCAACCAGAGAGTGGTTAAGTTTTTTTTTTTTTTTTTTAAACTGACTAAAACAGTTGATAAATCTTAGTTTCCAGTTTTTTCTGTTGATCGACTAATGGGTTAATCATTTCAGCTCAAGTGTACATCCATGTTTATTTGCCAGCTGCCTTTCTTTGCACCACCTGCACATCAGTGGAATATTGTGAAACCATTGGCAGGGATGTGTATTATGTCACAAAATCGTGACCACCCATTAAAAAAAAGAAACAAGAGATCGAAAACTCCACAAGGAAGGAACCTTTTCAGAATGATTGAAGAAAGCTAACAATCTTTTGTTAATCCAGGGGTGGTGAATGTGGTCCTGACCACTCCCATGTGGGTGGTCAACACTCGACTGAAGCTGCAGGGAGCAAAGTTCAGAAACGAAGACCTCCAGCAGACGCGGTACAGGGGCATATTTGGTGTGTGACATATACATTATATCTGTTTTGCACTTGTACAGTTTTTTTTGTTACTGTGCAGTTGTAAAACCCTGCTGTGTTTGGGCTTTTTCCTCACAGATGCTTTCTCACAGATCATTGCCAATGAGGGAGTGGGAACTCTGTGGAACGGCACTCTGCCCTCTCTTATCCTCGTCCTCAACCCGGCTGTACAGTTCATGTTTTATGAGGCCATGAAGAGGAAGGCAGGCAAGGGGGGGAGGAAGGTGAGAGGACACAAAAGAGACGTGTTGAATACTACATTACCAAAACTAATCTAATCTATCTTTTTTTTTTTTCAAGAAATGTGCAGATTATGACGTGTGTCCTTATGTACTTAAAGGGTACTAGATGATCATTAAGATTTATTTAACAATTTTCAGTGTAAAAATAATTTTGTTTATTTTGTGTTTGCAAAAAATTAATGAGACCAACAAACGGTGGCCACTGAAACGTGCATTCTGTTGACATTATGTTGTGCAGTTCAAGCAGAAATTGGAACTTTATTTTATACCTCGAGGGCTATGATAAGAGAGGATCCTATTTGAACTGTTGGTTTGTGTAAAATGCATCATTTTGCATTGTGATGACCCATTTCATGTTCTGATATCATATTTGTTGAGTAACTTGCATCAATCAAATAGTCACAGTCTACTTTAACAATTAACGAGAACAGTGGTCATGAGTGAATGAACTCTTTGTCTCTCACCACAGATATCCTCAGCACAGATCTTTCTCATTGGAGCCATTGCAAAGGCGATTGCTACCACTGCGACATATCCTCTTCAGACAGTTCAGGCCATCCTGAGGGTAAATACTATCTCATATCAAAGTTCACCTTTTGGTTGTTTACTTTTCCATGAGGTCTCAAACACTAGCCACTGTTAAGGGATACGTCTGCTGATGTTCTGTATTTTTTTTATTGTCAACAAGTCATAAAAAGCCCAAAAACAACAATGAATTGATTCAACCAAAGCCTGAGACATCTTATTCAGCGGTGCCATAGACCCCTGTTTGTTGTACAAAGACTATTAAAAATAAAAATAAATGAACACATCAATGAGCCACACTGTTGTTCCGGGTGATATGTTTATATAAAAACTGTGTAAAAACTCAGCTGGTCAGGTTGCCAGGCAACTGGTCTGCCAACCAGTGGAGATTACATGTATTTACTGAGCCTAGTGATTTGTTGTTTTTACACTTTGGCTTTTGTTACAGTGAACATGTGCACTGTATTTTTTTTCCTTTTCTTTTATATAATAAATGTGTGATAATCCACGAATGAAAGTAGTCCCCAAGAAATACAAAGCTTACTCCTATAGTTTTCCAGATTAGTTTTAACATTATTATATATGTTTTAATATGTTTATTAAACAGTTGTTGCAAGAGAAGAAATAAAGCATTTTTATCAGCGTTTAGAGTTCAGTGGAAAGAAAGCTCCACGTTGTGGCTGTTCCAGGTAAAAATAAGGAATATGTGTTTATAAAAGTGAAACCTTTTATTTTAAAAAGGTGGTATTTTTGTGTAAACCCCAGGAGCTGAGCTAGAAACCTGAATGAAGCTTTCTGTAATTACACTGTATTTTCGAACATGTAGTGAGTCAGACAGAAATGCTTCATGATCTCATGACAATATCAGTTCTTTAACAGGATTCACAATAAGTAAAAAAACAAAAAATAGAAGAAAAAACATAAAATCTCAGTGAAAAAAGATAACCTGCTGTGTGCTTTCTCATCAGTTCGGTCAGTACAAAGGTGATGGCAAGGGTGGTGTGATTGGAAGCCTCTCAAACATTTTCTCCCTGCTCATGGACAGAATCAAGTGAGTACAGCTGCAATTATAACCATAAACACATTTCACTGTCTCGGTGAGAAAACCAGTGAAGATATTACGAATGATGGTCATTGATGTACGTTTGTTCTCTTCATTACAGGAGAAATGGTTTCCTTGGTTTGTACAAAGGCCTGGAAGCCAAGCTGCTACAGACAGTACTGACAGCTGCCCTCATGTTTGTTGTGTACGAGAAGATCACTGCAGCTACCTTCAGAGTCATGGGTCTGAACAAGAAACTGAAGCAGTGAACACACAGCTGCTTCAATACATTACAGCATTAATACACCCATTGTTGGTAGGTTTTTTTTAATGCCATTTTGTCATATAAAATGTAATAAGAGAAGGGATTGATGCCTTTAGTGCCACAGATTCCCACACTTGCCCAAAACATGGAGAGGTTGGTGTAATACTTAATGATACCCTCTCTTTTTTAAACCTTTAAATATCTCCATCTGTGCAGACTGAACTTATCTATCAGCAACAGTGAATCTCTCTTGACATGGTGAAAACAGTTAGTGTTGTATAATGCAAATAAGTTGTGAGAATGTGTTTATCCCAATTCAGCCTGTCTGCTGCATTCACAAACTCTTCTGGTGCAAGTAGTTTGTTGAATGCAGAGCTGAAGTGGCACCAGTCTTAATGAAATGGACCACTAGGAGGCAAAATTAATGAGCGTGCTTTCCTTTGCACAAAAAGACCAATGTCATCACTTTTCAGAGAGATTCACTCACCTACAATTGAAACTAAAATGAAGCTAACGCAAATGATGACACCAGTAAGGTACCTACCTATGTGTTGCCTTGGTTTAAGCCACTGGAACATTCCTCGAACACTCCATCTTATGTTTAACTGTGAGATTCACTAAGATTGATGATATGCAAGATGGAAACCTCATGAAATTCCTACCAGAAGATGCCATTATTACATTATTAGTAAATGAGCAGTAATAACAAAAAATGGTGAAAGGGCAGAGGAAAATAACTATGAGGGACAAAGCTCCTTCATATTTATAGATTTGTGTATAAAATCTGCACAAACTTTTTCAGCTTAGAAAGGTTTTGATTTTAAAATGATAAATAATATATTAAGATGAATTTACTATAAACAAGAATGAGTACTTAACCCTTCACTGAGAGTTTGAAAGAAAAGGTTACATGTGTAAAAAATACTGCAGTAAGTGCCTCTAAACTGATGTAAGTGCTGTGATGACTTGATGATTTACACAAACCACGATGCACTGAGTTATCTGGCTACAGTCTTCATGATGTTTTTGGTCAGTATGAACATTTTGTCCTGCAGGTGTTTTTCATTATTTATCTGTGTCCTGTTGGTAGTGAAGGGGTAGTCAGGGTTTGCAGTAATTTACACTGTTTGTTTATCACAGTGCTCTTCCTGTGAGTTGTTGAATTGAAGTTTCTGCAGTCACAGTTGATGCACTGCTGTTGTTGATGTTGTCTGTCGTTGAAGCGGTTAACTGTTGCCTTCAACACTGCTTTGCAACATCATTTTGACTGTTCATTGTATACTGATTGCCAGTGGTGTAGCCTAGTTGCAGTTGTGGAGGACATGATCAATTTACCAAAAACTAGAAACAGCGCTTTTACCAGATTTGAGCTTCTTTTTCATTATGTTTGCTCAGTTGTAACTTGAACCTGGTTTCCTACCTTTCTGCTGACTCATGCACCTGCTGTCAGGAAATACGGTATATCTCTCTATCAATTGACTGTATATCTGCTAGATGAATTATGATGCATAATGTTCCTTTTTTAATTCATGATATCAAATGTGTGTTTAAAGTTAGGGAAATAAAATGTAGCGTTGACTCCCTCCTGTTTAGTCTTGTAAAAGTTACTAAATTATCCATAGCTTGTTTGGTCAGAGGTGCACTTTAATAACACACTAACTCTTAGGTAAGACATCAAAGTTGTTTATGGAAAGTAGTTATGAAAAAATAGCAAAGAGTAAGGTAGTAATATCCAGTAAAGAAAATGGCTTAATCTGAGGATAGCAGGTGCGGAAAAGCAGAAAGCTTCAAACAATCAATAAGTTGAGGCAAGATGATGAAACAAGCTTTATTTAACAGTGAACAAGTCCAAGTCTGGTGAAAGTGTCACTGTGAGTAAAAAAAAAAACAGCAACACCAATGACACATTTAAACAACTGTTACTAGATTAAACCATGGATGGATATTAATAACTTCTTCATAATTGTTTTCAATGAGTTTTTCCGGTGGCATCTTGTTTTCTATCTCAAAATGGACTTCATGTCACTGCAATGTTTTCTTTTAACAGTTTACATGAAAATATTTTGTAACTGCTGATGCAATGCTTACTTGAAGTCTTCTTCATTTATTTACATCAAATTTTTTTTATAAATTCTTTTCTAATTATGTTTAATTAAAATACCACTGTTTTTGGGATTTAAAAACTTAATAATAAAGTTTGAGGAACAATATTGACACTATCCTGTAATTATTTTATTAAAAATAACAGATACCACATAAAAACATACATGGCTCAGTTTCTAATGATGAACAAATAAAAATAAAATAAACATCCCTCCAAAGCATCATGGAGTAGTGCTTAGTGACACTTTGCAAGTTATACAAGTTGTCCTCAAATGAAATGCCAAAGCATTTTGGTAAAGAACCCTCCATTGGAGGTCACATACAGTATATCAACAGCACTAGTTTACCAGATATTGTAAATCAGGACTGTTGGTTTGAGTCTCGACTGCTGGTCATCTCCTGGATAAACCAGTGTGGCAGGAATGAATACTGGGAGTCCCTGTGGATGGAGAAGGTCACATCTCTGTGGGGCTCCCAGGAGAACAGGTACACCACACTGGAATGGAAACAATGTTTTATTAACAGCAACAACAAAGTGCTAACAATACACTGCAAATAACAAGTGACCTATAACTGAAGACATTCACGGTGTTGTCTCTATCATTGTTTCTCACCTGGGATTGTCTTCAGTAGCCACATGCTTCACAAAGGACAAGAAATCAGAGCAGAAGTTCATGCAGACTGTTGGCTTCCAGCAGTTGTATTCATTCTGGTCAGAGAGAATACAGAAGACAGATAGAATATGAATATTTTGTGCTAATCCTGTGATATAAAAATTTATTTGGTCATTTTTTTATTAATATATAAGACTACAAGTCTACAGCTACAGTTAGGTACTCAAATCTAAATGCTAACATCTTATTTTTGAGTGTTGCCATGGTAGCATTTGCTGAGGTGGTGCTGGAGGAAAGGTCAGGGAATCACAAAAATGAGCAGAATTCATCCTCGGCACAAAAAAAATCATGGCAATCCAATTTCAGTCTGTACCAAAGTGGTGGGATGACACACCAAAATAAAAGACATTGCCATTCCCAAAGTCGTGCTACAAGCATGGCTAAAATAGATCAAAATAAATTTCTATAAGATTAGATTAGTTTTTTTTCAAACAACTACACTATACCTTGATGAGATGTGAAATCTTTGATATGTGAAAAGTCTCCACAGAAACAACCACTCCTTCATGATCCCGGAAACCTGCTACAATGCGAGGGACTCCAGGGAGGAAAGACTGAGCCCACCACTTCAGCAGTTTGAACCTAAGGACCAAAACGATGAGAAAAAATTAACTTTAAAACATCTGAGTGTAAGTACATCAAATATTCAACAAACAACATGCCAGGTGTCATCATCCACCTGTGGAGGTTGCTGCGCTGTTTTGGGGTGCAGATCTCTGCAGAGGTCTTCAGCTCGACGTAGCAGGCAGGAGGAGCTGGAGCGGCAGGATCTTTATCCCGACAGTCCACCTCTCCGGAGAACAAAAGTCTGTGATCTGCAAGCCGAGTCTGCACCACAGTGCAGAAGGCCTCATTAGTGTTCACCACTCCACTCGGGTCAGGTAAACTGTGGATATCATCTACAGGGATGGATAATGGTGAAGTGTTAGCTATCAATCAAGCATCTGGTTATCACCTTATGTGCTTTGTGAGGCTCGCATTTCTGTGTCATATGTATTATATGGAAGCCTATTTCTGCCAGGAAACAGGAACATAAATCGTTAGGGATGATAAAAAATACTGGACATCGAAATTATAAGACAGTAAGTCAAAAGACTGGCCTCTTAAATCAAAATGATGAAAAACGCTGCACTACTATGCCAAATATTAAATTATTAATGATTAAGTCAAAATGCCTAGGACTGACAATTCATCAAAATTTTACTATATTACTTTATTTTTGCTTGTGAAATATCATAGCTGAGCTGGTGTAAGGAAGTGTAAGCAAATAAACAATTATTATTATTGTCTGTTCTATAAACTTTAATACCTGCAAATGTGTATTGCTCAAACTTGTACCCCCAGTACATCATCTCTGCATTCCTCTCAGTGCGGTTCTCTCGATCTCTGCGAGCAGCTTCTGTTTCCACTTCACTGATGTAAAGCGTGCCTCTAAACCTGGTGACCGCCAGTAACCAGCTGTCCCGTGTCTCATAGGGAGTGGTAAGCAGCTTGGTCAGGTGACCCCGCCATGTCACAAAGTCGACATCTAAAACGCTGGGAAGATCAGAGAATACATGTCCAACAGGCAACACGGTTGTGGTTATGAGACTAAACACAAGTTCACAAGTTAGTATCTGACTGTCTGTACACTTACCGTGACGAGGCCGTGGTCTCCCTTGAGTCAAGCTTTGATCTATTGGCTACAATCCAGCGCAGAATGTGGTCCAGCTTCTCCTTCTCACCATCATCTCTCTTTACAAAGCGGTCCTTGTATCCATCCTTCAGGTCAAAATGAGGATTTCTGTCAGGTTCCACGTAGTATCTCATCTGTCTGCTGTCATTGAAGAATCTACGCTCAGAGTCAAGGGAGAAACATCCAACTTCGACAGGCTGTTTGTACACAGGAAAGTCTCTTTCATAAAGCTCCCTTCTGGTGCTCAAACCCTGAGATCTGAGTGGGTTTCGCCAGGGAGTTGATCCAGACTGATGTTGGTGGTGGTAGTTTGGTGTGGAGCGTTTAATCTCACACTGATTTCTTCCACTGTCATCTCTTTCTCTTCTGTATGCTGCCTGGTGGTTATGGTAGCTGGATTTGGGATTGTGGGATCTGTGGTGGTCCATTGCAACCTAAAGGGGAGAACAGCAATGAAACAAACTGATGACACTGCTGATTATTCAAATGTTCTTGATAGTCTTGCTTGTCACTAAAGAGGCAGTACTAACATTAATACACCACCTACAGTCATTTCAAGTGCATTTTTCTCATCTCCTCATTTTATTTATGTGGCCCAGTATACTTAAAGTTACAATTTGTGCACCATGTTTATTTTTACCCTTTTTGTACCCTGGTTCTTTTTTCTTTGTTTTACTTTCAGACTGCACAGTATTTATAGTAGGTTCTCATAGTGTAGCCTATATTGTAGTCTATTTTTAGGGTCCTTATCTAGTTGATTATGAAAATGTTGCTGTGCCACTTACGGTTTCCTGCATAGGCTCAATAAAGTTGAACTCCTTTTACATCATCACAATTAAACACATCGCCCCGTGATCTGTGTAAACAATTGTCTGTTGTGTGTATATGAATGTATATGTATGTTCATAATATAAAGATTTTTGTATTGTATGATGTGTCTGCATTGAGTAAACATGCATGCAGCGTTAACCCCAACGTGCATGCATTCTGTAAGTAAATGAAGGTTTCCAAATAAAAGAAAAATGTTTTTAAAACTAAATTACCGGTAAATTAATGAAATTTTACCTTCGTCAGCATACACAACAGAAACAGCTAAGCTAACGTTAAGTTTCTCTCCATGCCAAGCCAGTCACAATAATAAACAGGACTTAGTGTATAAACGACTATAACATTTTTGCAGCATCGTTTCTGATAAATACAAAAACGACAAGCGACAGCGAGTGAGACAAAGAACACATAGAGTCTGTGTCTTTTACTAGCTGGGCAGCTGACTAGCATCTAAGCTAGCACCACCAAACTTACCGCTGTTTCCGTGTGCAGTTTATCATCCAGTCCGCCCGGTGGTAGCCGTGATATTTCCTACAAATAACAGTTAAAGGAAGAATTTGTAGTTTTTGTTGTTTGTTTTTTTTAATCGGAGCTGTGGACAGTGTGTGGCATTGAATGGGACAAAACCATGTGAATAGTAATATTAGTGGTATAAGTAGCTACCAGGTAAGGGTTTCAAACTAGTTTGACCGGTCAGGTATTTGTTCATCTGTTCAGTGTACGGGCGAAGGAGCGTTAACTTAGCAGTTAGCTGCACTAGCTTGGATAACAAGAAAGACAAAAAGTGACTGGTAACCGGTGGGTCCTGCAGAATTGTGTATACTATCAAAACATGCTTATCAAGTCAATGTGAGGGTCCGAGTTTATTCTTAGAGCTAAAATTTGCGCTTGAAACGCAAACTAGCAGGTTTCTTACAGCTGAATTGGGCCACGAGTCTTATTCGTGCTTATTAGTCACGCTAATCACGGAGGGGCCGTTACTGACGTTATCTCGAAGTTTACCGTTTTATTTTTTATGTCGGTATGATGCATTTTCATTCAGCAAAAGTTGGCAGGGAAGGGGGTGTAATGTATTATATAATTTTTTGTTCTAATAACTCAGATTGCATGGGTTCTGTGGATTTTAGTTTGCTCGGTGTTGCTATGAAGAGAGCAGCTGTTTTGAGTGATCAGCTGATTCATTCTGCAGATCATGACTTCTCTGTCATCATTTCTCCTCTAGGTATGAACAGAAAACGGGCTCTGATTTCGGACACTTTTAAAGTGAAGAAACGACGAAACGGCACAGAGAAGTTTGGAGCTATCAATTGTGGAGATGGTAGGTGTGCCTGTCAAATAGGTCACTGCAATTTTATGTCATTTAAGGTTTACATCCATAATTCACTTCCCGTCCATATCTCCATCTCAAAGGGTCAACTGACATCAGAGCCACCCTGGAGTACCTCACGACGCTGTTCCCCAGAAAGCTCTTCAATGACGCCTTGCCTCAAATTGTGCTTAAGCACCAACTCTACAGCATACACGATGACAAGACTTTGGTGGACAAGGAAGTGGTAAGATGGCTCTTTAGTGTCAGAAAAGGCATATGTTTATCCATCTAAATGTGAAAATACCCATCACTTCCATCCTTGTGTTTCACAGAATAAACTGCGGGAACAAGCAGAACTGCTGATGTTCCAGCTTGGGTTTGATGCTGAAGCTTTCGGGCTGATTTTTGCTTCAGACTACAAGGCCAAAGTGCTGGCAGGAGAGGAGGGCAAAGTGACACGAGCGACAGTGGAAAAGTTCCTGGAGAAAGTGTTGACTTCCTCTTGCACAGATTTGAGCTTCAGCAAAGACAAAATGCTCAGAGAGTTCCTCTTTACAGACTCAGAAATAACGTATGAAAGATCCTCATCTGTTTTTTTTATTCTTTCTTTGTCAAATATTGTTGCAAAAATGTTTCTTCAACAGTAACTCATCTTTTAAGGAATGTCACACTCACCCTTTTAAACAAGATTTTTTAAAAGCATGTTACAATGCTGAGATTTACTGAAACTATTTGAAATTTATTTAAAATTCTAGTGGTAATTCCAAATTTTCCCACAATGTTGAATCTGTTTGGCTGAACATTTGGGAAATGGGTATACAGTTATGCATAAGGTTATATATCTACAACTTTGCACTTGATGGCATTGTGCAGCCAAGAAAACGTTAACAATGGAATTCATTTAAGTTGATATCTGAGTTTAAAAGCAGTTAACGTTATATTTGACTTTATATTTGATATAATTTGGCTTTGGTTAGTGACTCATGTGCCAAGAGCCTTTTTTTAGTTTTTACTGAGTATGAAAATACTTACATCTGAGACCTCAGACTTGTGTAAGCCATTTTCAAAGATCAGCACATGCTTTATTTTCTCACCACCTAGGCAACTGGTGAAGTCAGGGGTCCTGACTGTGAGGGACGCGGGCAGCTGGTGGCTTTCCATTCCCAACACTGGCAAATTCACCAAGTACTTTATACAGGGTGGGTGTCTGAGAAAGTGTGAACAAGACTTTACCTTAATGATGTCACATGTTGCATTCTCATTTTTACAAGATTTTCAACAGTGCCTTGCTAATTGGAGGAGTGTCTGTTTCTAACCATCTCACCTCTTTTCGTGCTAGGTCGTAAAGCTGTGCTCAGCATGGTGAAGAAGTCCAAATATAGTGAAGTCTTAAAGGCAGAGCTTGAGGAGCGGCGAACATCCTCACAAGTGAAATTCCACATGAAGTACCACATCCATGACATTGTTGGTGCAGAGCTGGTAGAAAGGTAATATTTGTTTATATCTGGCTAGATGCTAATGATTCTGAAAAATGTTGAGTTTCCCAGTAGGTCAGAGTTAACCCAGCTGTCAAACGAAAAGGACAGGTACTTCATGCAGCTGCTCTCTGATCTATGATCCTCACAGTTCAGTGTAATTGAGGGGTTTTTATGTTACATGCTTGGACAACCCACAGGCCATGTGCTAGCTCTCAGGTTTTAGAATATGTTGTTGTGGTTATTGTTGAAACCTTCAAAAACAAGCCAGCTCAATCCCCTTACTCAGAAAATGATTTATAAGTAAAACAGCTACGATTGCTTAAATCAGCAATTTTTAATGTCTATATACCAGTGACCAATTTCTCATATTACCCGTACTGGGTTCTTGGGGAATCTTACACTGTTACATGTTAATTTACTGAATAAACTTTGTTCTCTTTCTAGCATACCTACAACTTCAGGGACATTGTTGCGATTTGTGGATTCCTGAAGTACTGCGACAAGACTGACATCCGTTAGGTTGAAATCAATGAGTGATGCATAACATGAACAAAGCTTGTGAAAAGTGTTTGTATGAGGACTGTGTGTAAATTAATTTCAGATTTTGATTCTGTGCCAAATGTACTGTAAAAAACCTTGTGGGTTTATGAATCGTCAATTATGTTGACATGACCTTATCAGGTTTTGATTTATCTTGTAATAAAAAGGATTTGCACACCATGAAACCATTGCTATCTATAACCAGTGTATCCAGGTTTGACTGGCAAAAACCATTTCCTGTTCATTAAGTACACCTACGTAATCAAATACAAGAGATCTACATTTAGGAAGATTAATATGTTGACACTGTCAGAGACGTGTTAATTCAACTATATTTTTATTACTTTAGTTGTAGTTAGTGGTCGTGTTGTGCTGTACTGTGTTATGAGCAAGTGGGCAAACATCAGAAACACCTAAATATATTGTAGTCCAGTTCAACACCACTGCAACTGCAAACTAAATCAATAATAAATATATATTTAAATAAATATCTCTGACAGAGACATTCAAAACTGAACATTATAAACTTAGTAAAGTTATAATTTATAGCTGAGCAGTTGTATTGGAGTCCATAAGATTTTACAGGTGTATGCCTAATGAAGTCTATATGGGTCTATTTCCCCTGTTAGGTTCTTTGGCTTATTATGAGTCTTAAGACAAGCCTCTAGCCCCTGGTCTTGTTTTTTTTTTGTCACTAAATCCAATGACAAATGTGCTAAATTGGCAACACTGCAGGGTGTATACAACCCTCCAACAGAAACTGTTTGCAACAAGTCACTTTTAAAGAGCAATGGCCAATGGGGACTCTCCAGCTCAGTCACATGGCATTCAGGTGACCAATGGTGGAAATATCACTCAAATCTCATCAATCAAGAAAAAACCATCACAGGTATTGGTCTGACTAATCTGAAACCATAATTTTCCAGTATGGTCTGAGTTAAACATTAGCTGTATTTCAGACTAATAGAGTAGTACTTTCTTATTGTTTTGTGTACAGCTGCGATTATTTCCACTATCAATTAATCTGCTGATTATTTTCTTTTATAATCATTTAGTCTTTAAAATGTCAGAAAATAATGAAAAATGCCCATTTAAGCCCAAGGTGACATCTTCAAACCTTTTGTGTTGATTATCAAAATAGTTGATGATTAATGTTCTGTTGACAGATTAATCCACAAATTGTTGCAGCTCTAGTTTTGTGTTGGTGTTCCCAGTGTTGCATCAAGGGAAAACTCAGGATGCGTTGCCCAACAAAGAGACAGAATAGAGTCCGTTTTCCTGGAATTTATTGGCTTTTTCAAAAAGTGACAATAGCTTTTATCCATAAAACTAAAGAGTCACAACATTGGCTTGAATTAAAGCACAGCTTGATGTCGGAATACAATACAGATGAGCAACATGTACTTAACCCCTGATCTAGTAGTTCAAATACATTTTGTAAATAGGCAAAAAATATAACTGTAGCAATTCTAATCTTAGTTTTCAGTATATGTTGCACATACATGCTATCAGCATTAATTACAAAAAGCTAGGCTTGTAGGGAGATTAAGGTAGCGTTAACTGTAGAGGTAATAAACAAAGGATATTCATAGTGTTAGTTTAACAATACAGTGAGTGAAGTGTAACTTCTGTGAAGAAAGATACAAAATAGTCAATCACATGATTATAACAAAAATGAGTACACTGTATACTACACCATAACCGACAGTAGCTTTGTTACTGTTATTAGCAGGCATGAATGCTCTTCTTAGTGACATTGCTTAGCCAGTAGTGATGCTATTAAAAATCAAATATGCTGCACAAAAGTTTTCTGATAAATGCCCACAGAGCATTAAAGGTGCTCTTGATCCCCGCCACCAAAACACCTAAACAGTTCTAATCCAATACCTAATTAAGTTTTCAGCTTTGCACTCCTGGGCAGCTATACAGTTGAGACATTTCTAGGGAAACATTGCAAAGAGGAAAGAAAAATACCATAAACTTGACAGTTCCAATTGGAGCCAAACACATAAAATACTGGATCATTTCGATTTTTCAGGGGTTAATAATAGCACTGTTGGTGTCAGCAGACCTTTCCTCCGTCTGAATTTTTCAGTACGTCTCAGGCGTCGTTCAATCCATGAGAATGAATTAACATGAATCATGCTAGGGCTGAAAACTAACTCCTGGTGAAGAGATTATGGTACACTAACAGTAATTTGAGGCAAAAAGAACTTCACAGATGGTTACTTCAAGTTCTTTGTTGACAGTGCGATGACACACGACTGCCCTTTGCAAAGTGAAACTGAAATTAATAATATGCCATTGGTCGTGGAGCTGAACAAACAGCAGCACACAACAGCAAATTTCCAGCTGTATTTTGAAGGTTTAAAGGTTTGAGACAATAGAACAAAGGTTTTTTTTTTCGGCTAAAATACAGTATGTGTGCAGAATGTATTTGGCAATATTTCTTCCACTCAAGACGAACAACCAAGACTGTAAACAAAAAAAGGTGGACAACCAGTGGAAGAACAAATTGAAAACATTCCACGGTCCATTTTTACAAAACATCCAATCCATTTCAGAAGGCCTCAAGAATTTCATAATTTCATAGTCTCGTCTATACAGTATACGTTGTTAGGAAAGAACTAGGGTCTATAATCATCCAACCCCTTCTCCTAAATCTGACCCTATGTCAAATTTTTCATGGAAATGGTTGGTATAACTGCTGTAGCTACACTTATGGAAGGAAAGAAACTGAAGTACATTGTTTTTGTGTGTATACTGGTGTGTTTCTCCTGTGTCTTTTAGCCACCCTCACCACTAGCGGTCATGTTCCCCTGTAACCGGTTCAAGTGGAGGAAGTCTTAGAGGAGAGTGCACTTCTTCCCCTTCTTCTTGACAGGTGGAGGGCAGAGGACGGCCCGGATGGCCTCGTCAAACACAGTTTTAAGGCCACGCTGAGTCAGAGCTGAGCACTCCAGGTACTTGACGGAACCTGAGGGAATAGTGCAGAGAAAGCCTCTGGTTTAATATCTTTAATATTCATTTTCATGAAATATTTCAGCATAAATCAGGAGAGAAAACGTATTTATTTGACATTTACCAATCTCTTTGGCCATTGCCAGTCCTTGGGGATAGGTAATCGGAGAGAGTTTCTTCTCCTTCAGCTTCTCCATAGTGTCTTTGTCATCTCTCAGATCCAACTTGGTGCCCACCAAGATGATGGGGGTGTTGGGACAATGGTGTCTCACCTCAGGGTACCACTGTGCAGAGACCACAACACTGAGAAGTTAGAGGTGTAATTTTTCAAACTTTTGTGGTATCTTGAACACAGCCCACTGCGTTTAAATTTGCTACAGATGCACTACTACCAAGCTGGTGAATGGAACACAAGCACAGGGTTGGTAAAGAGAAAAGAGTGCATTTAAACCGCTAGCTGTTTTTTTGGCCACTTGGAGGCAACGCAACAAGCTCAAAACAGCTTTTAAGTTGATCTGGTAAACCTGTTAACAAACAGCTGCAGATTTACACACACATATACAGCAGATATGAAGCAACATCATCATTCATTTAGAGTCATTTTTCTGGCCAGCTGGCGAATACAAGTCCAACATTCCCTCTCTTTTAGCTACGTTTTTGGTCTCTACCAACTCCTTAGGAAAATATCAGTCTCTTCAGCTAGGAGATGCTCCTCTATGTTTACCAGCTTGTTGTTAACTATATGTCTGGTCTTTGATGCAGAGCAGGATTTGTGTGGCAGTTTTATCATATATGCCATGTTAAATGCGATTAGTGTTTACGACATATTCCAGTCCAGAGTGAGTAAGAAAAATAAATGCTGCTCTTTTTCACCATTGTCCCATAATTAAACATATTAATAAGAAGTATGCTTCAAAACAGTTCAGAGTGCAGCTCTTTCTGTTGCCATAGCTAGAGACAAAAACTACAGATAATCTCACTGGGAACTGAAATTGGTCAGCTGAATTTGACCAAAATGTTTATTTATAATTTATTGGGAGCAAATGGGCAGTGTGCAGATACTGCTCAGATACCAAAGTCTTCATGTGCAGTCATCATCTCATTGAATCTATAAAAGGTTATAGAAAAGTTTTCTAAAGTCACCCTGAGCTGCAGTGATGGATAATTCAGACCAAAAACATCCTTACGTTAAAAACAGCACAGGGGGCTGTTTCAGTGGAGATATGTTCTTTAAGGTACCAGTGAGACAATGAAATACAATCCAAAAGGTCCAGTAACAGATTAATCTGTTTAAAGTCTTACCAGACACCAAAACACTGCACAGCGGTTTATAATACTCACAGACAGGATTTAACAATTCTGGAAAGTCAGGACAGAAACTATTTTATCTTTCGTTGCTGCAATCAAACAGCAGAAATACACTTCACGTTACAAAGTAATCTACCAGGAATGTGAACTTGCATGTATCTGATTGGCCAGCGCAGGGCCTTGCCAGATGACGCTACGTTGCGTTGCATTTCTGTAATTGCTGCACCTGGTTCAAGTTTTTTCCTGAGCCCCCTATGTTGGCAAACCTGATATGTTAAAGAACTGGTCCCATTCAAATGAATGAGAGGGCTATGTTATTTCATGCAGGCCTCAAGTCTGTCTGACACAGCTTCAGAGGGAAAATGCTGGCTATTCTGAATCAGTCCCTGTTAGGAATGAAAACATAACAGTGCAACTAATATGCAACTGGAAACGTCATCTAGTGTGGTTAACTTTCTTCTGGAAGATAAAAGCCCTGTTTTAAACCTTGTGTGGACAAATGGGTAAAAATGGTTCTTATGTAATAATTATCACGAAGAACAAAGCAATTAAACTGATTAGTAAACATGTCATGCTGTGCTCATTGTGGGTCACTTTGTTCACACAATGCATCTGCTCATCATGTTAGGATTCTGTAGAAATGCTGACTGCGTCATTTCATTTAAATCCCTCAAGCTAAAAAAAAAAGTCACCTTTGTGGTACCAGATTCCCTGACTTATCCCCAAAGATGGCTGGCTAACCCACTACCCTCAATAAATCACCAGCTACAGTGATGGTAAATCTATGTTTTTATCTGGAATGGTTCTGTTAGATGGCACTGGCATCAACCGACCAGACCAGTGCCACCCATAAAATCTGATCAATAATGTTCAACAGCAGACAAGTGTAAATGTGTTGTTTTTGGTGTTTC